GCATATGTTAAAATGATTTAAAATGGGTTGACAATAGTATAAATTAGCAATGTAATCATGCAGATATCGATATTTAAAATATTGCACGTTTCGGACTTTGTCAAACTGAATGTTTTCTCCGATAATGGTTGGTTGTTACATGTTCGTTAACTTAATAATTATCATTATCTTCAATTCAAGTTTTTCATTATATGTTATAATCACTCAAGTTTATGAAAACATCGTTTGGAACTGAAATGCTTTAATTAATTAATTAAATACGCCGCGACATTAACATTTGTCCGATGATCAAGCTTGCTGATGATCCCTGACCACATGATTGAAGCAATGGATGCTTAATTTGCAAAGATAAACCATCTAATTTATTTGGTCAATTTAATTTGGGTATTATTAGTAAAATTAGAGAGAAACTCCTTCAAATAGACGATAAATCCTTATAATTTATACTTAATTTTCGCTAGACAAGCCGTCCTTTGTATGTGTGAATCGGGTACATATCCGGTCATGCATCTTCTTTTAAGTAAATCCTATATGCAGAAATCTGCTGAGGACGTGATTTTGCGCCACTGGCGCTAAAAATGAGAATGACATGGGAAAATCGGCAGCCAGACTAATATCGTATGAAAACAAAACTGTCCGTTGTGTTATTTAGTCATCTAGTCAAAACTGGTACCAACAGCAACAGGTTACCCAGTCCCCTGTAATTACACATATTCTCGAGTTTATCCATTTCCCTATAACTACGTCATCTACTTACCCAATCCCTTTCCCACACAGATACGCAATTCTACTCCAATAAACAACATAAATATACTTACTATTTAAAATGATTATTGGTTACTGAAAAAAATGTGTTGCTATTTTAAGAAATGCTGTATCTGACAGGTGTGCAACTTGATTTCCCCTAACAGATGAAGTGTAAAGAAATATATGTCTATTTCGTCATCAGAATATTTGACAGGGTGATTAACCAATCAGGGAAACATTGTGCAAGTCATTTTTCATGATCAAAAGGTCTGTCGGTGTATGCTGTCTACACAGAGGCATACAAGGAGCAACAAGTTAAATGTTGACGCTGCACACCATGTTCTTGGTATGTGTCTTAAATTCTGTAATGTTTGTCTGTTGCGCTGGTCGAAGTAAAATAAAGTGGATAGCAAAAGCAATTGAAATGATTGGTAAACTTTAAATTAATTCAAAACAATATGTGCCGAGAATATGTCCATTTAAATATTTGTGCGAATTGCATAATGTTCAAATGATTTTGAGGAGGAACTGTCTGTTATTTTACAAATAGCGAAAATATGTATGTAATATCAAATAATAGTTATGAATAAATTAATATATATAAAATCAATTCTTTGTTACGTATTGTTTACTTATTTATAAAAGATTAAACTTCTTGAATTAACAAAAAATTGTAATTCGCCTAGAATCTAGGTTAGGACCACTAAATGTAATTAAAAATTCTACGCAAAAGAGAAAAATCGTCGGGCACAGAATCCTTAAAAAATGAACGTACTTTTTATCACTCATTTAATCTGGTTTATAACTTAAATATTAATCATTTTCATGAATAACATGTCGCACACGTTTTGCCTGTTTTGCAAAAAATATTTCCGCGGCGTCCATAGCGCCAAATTAATCTCCGTTGCGTATTTTAATGATACCTCTTGTTCCCTGCCCAAATTTGGTTCCCGTCATTAGACAATAGACGGGTCTGTGTGGAGCGAAGGGTTGAGGTTGAACTGCCTCTCTGATAGTGGGCAAGAATAGGCTTTGTAACTTGTAATTTAATAATTCGTCAAGTTATATTGATTATAGTTGTTCTGGTTCCCCCCATCAACGAAGACTAAATGCTAGCATATGATCAGAAAGTTTGCACAAAGATTCATGGTCTACACCTACATCAAATGGTACATTTATCTGGAAAAAAATATTTTCAGTCCCATCATGACAAAAAACCTCAGTGGAGTCCCTTTAATAATTAAGTTGCATATTTTTGTGAAAAAAGTAGGACCTAATGCATAAATTCACAAAGTAATGCCATGTCTGAAATTCTAAAATGTTTGTCTTTTGCGACAAAGATTGAAACGTATGGCCGAAGCAAAATATATTGGATATCAAGTAAAATTGATATGATTGGTATATTTAAAATGAATTCAAGACAATATGTGCCGAGAATATACCCATTTAAATATTGGTACGAATTGCATTATGTTTGAATGGTTTTGAGGACGAACTGTTGTGCAGTGATCTCCCCTTACTGGCCGTAGCGTAACGAGTTCGGTTGCGGAAGAACCGCTTCTCTGATGATAAGCGTGGTTTAGGCTTTGTGACTTGTAATTTAATGATTCGACAATATTGATCAAAGTTGTCCTGGTTCCCTTCTGCCCCGTCAACGAAGACTTAATGCTTGCATACTGAAGCATCATTTTAAATGTTTGTGACAATTTAAGGCGGAGCCGAACTTTAACAGAAGCGGAGCAAATGAAGTAACCTCTTTCAACGGTAAAGTTTTAGAACGATCGACTATAAACTGGTTCATTGCCACGTTATTTTTTATGCAGATAAAATTAGATAATGATAAAAAGAATATGATATTCAAACATGGCATTATCATTTCAGTTAGACGTTTATTCAAATTCCTCAAAGCTCCGTGACATGTTGTACATCAGAAAAACTACTTTATTAGAAATTTTGAAAACAGTGTGATTTTGTTAAAACAAAAAAATACACAAAATCAAATCTAAAATATTCCCCATTGCTGTATGGACAAATGCATATCTACTAGACGCCGCTTGCACGCCGCTTGCAATCGGCGTCTAATAAAAGTCTACTGGGGCAGGTACATTTGGTGCAAATTAGGAACAATTAAAATGGATAATACACAGTATTAGACATAAGTAGTAAGAACCAGCAATTGTGTGAATAAACTATGCAAATTAGATATTTGAGCAGCCAATAAAAATGTTTTGCTTGCAATTAATATTAGGCTACGATGACGATGTAAATAAATACCACGCAGCAACATACGTTATACTCTCTGATTGACAGTCATGTTTACAATTTACTTTTCAAAAGAGTTGCTTATATTTTTGTAATTTGTACATCAATTATAATCAATTTTTACACATTTTATTTGAAAGTCAGAATCAAACTTCAAAAAGTTAATAACTTGTAAAAACGCGTTTTAGTAGGATTTGTATAATAATGATAATTTTCGCCGTTCAATAATTCGTTGGTGCGTCTGTTTATTTGATTGTGAAACTTTGTTAAATGTATTCATTAAATCTGTGAAATATTGTTTAATTACATTAAGATGAGACTTTTATGAACGTAGCCTTCTTTGGAGTAACAGGCATCACGGGTCTGAAGTGGTGCGACCGGTAGACCGTTGATTTTTTATTTGTTACTTTACTTTTTACTAGATTTGTCATAAATTTAAAGATGTGAGGGAAATGACATCACGCGCACCTGTTTTTATACGGTTAATACACAAACATGGCCGCGCCTACTGACTTGTAGAAATCGGTGGTATAGCTATTTAAATATTGTTATCATTCCTTTAATATTATTATTTGAAAGCAGAAAATTTGAAGATTTACTATTTATCGTATTCTGTTTCTGATATCAAGTTTTTATTTTAAAATTGCCTTTCCCTTAAAATATTATAGTGGCAGATTTAGTACGCTTTTGTGCGTCTCGTTGGCGCAAGCAACAATACGACGAAGCGCCAAACGGCGCGTTGTCGCGCTGTTTTCTTATCCTGTCTCTAGCGCGGCACGCCAAACGGCGCGTTGTCGTGCAGTGTTGTCGGGATGTCACATTTGTTGTCGGGATGCCCGGTTTAAATTGAAGGATTGGCTTATAAGCCAAGCGGCAACGCGCCATTTGGCGTGCCGCGCTAGAGACAGGATCACAAGATGACAGTGCCACAACGCGCCGTTTGGCGCTTTGTCGTGTTGCCGCTAGCGCCAACTCGACATACAAAAGCGTACCAAATCAGCCACCATAAAATATAGTTTAATTTCAGCACAACGGAAACGCTCTAATGCGTTATCAGATGACATTTTTAGTGACTAGAGTGTTTATTTATATCAATATATCTTTATTCAAAATTCGTGAGTAAAATGGAAAAAAAGAAAAGTCTAAATTGAAAATATTTTTGGCTTTTCTAATTGATTCTGATCATGGACGGTAGTGGTTAGTGCAAGTTACCGTTCCAACTGCACAAGATTCAGCAGTTCGTGTGTTCAACATCTATATATTAAAATAGTGGACTATTGTGTACATTCGAAAATGTCTTTATCGTGGCATACCGATCCATGAGCAAATGCCTTTATTAGTTTAAAAATATTTATTCCCAATAATATATATATTGTTAAGTCAAATAATCACCAAACAAGATATTTATATATGATGACATGATGGAAAAGGATGAGAATGAATGACGAGTCTTCAATGAAAATGTAGGTCAAATCATCAGAATATAACAAACTAGTAAGAATATGGCAAGCATAATAATTTGCGTTGACATTAACAAAATCAACTGTATTTCAATATTTTCAGACAGTACAAAATGAACAACTGCAAAGGTTTATCAAATTTAAATAAAATTGAAAGACAATAAGCATAACATGAAGATGAATTAGTGTTTATTAATCAATAGATATGACAATAGGTCTTTTATAAAACAAATCTGGCATGGACTTAAGTATAAATTTTCTGTCAAAAAATCACAAAGAAAAGTAAACAGGGAAAAGAAAATTTTTTAAAATTAAAAAATTTAAAAACCCATGTCAAAGGATTGGCTTTTAATTTTATAAGCATGCAATTAAAAATTTAAAAAAAGAAAAAATACTTTGAATGGCTCCCTTTAGCAAAGAGGGTTTGATGGCCAAAAACAATAAAAAGAAAATAAGTTTCATCATAAACCCTTTAAAAAAACCCCCTTTCGCGAGGGCCCAAATTACAACATATGCATGATATATCTGGGTTTTCAATCAAGGAACCAATATCTACTAGAAATACGAGTTTTGTAAAAGTTTGATTCAAATCCAAGTATAAATAAAAATGTATCATGCATATTAGGTAATTTACTATTAGGCCCTTTCTTCTTTCTGCAAACGGAAGCTAGCCGTTTAAAGAAAGAAACAGTGATTTACTCGTAATAGAAATTATGCAGGTTTGGTCCAAATCAAACAAAAAAAAACAGCAACAAAAACAAAAAACAAAAACAAAACTGCTAATTGACATGTAATTATTGACGCACACATACACATACAACGGGCGACGGACAATATGCGACCACAAAAGTTAACAAACACCTAGCATATAATGGTAATCACACGCTGGTTTGTGTCGCTTATGGTTACGATTCTTACATGTGTCGCTGCAGTATGTCCAGAGCTTACATTTGGTACAAGCTATTAGAGTGACACGATCTCTCCCTGGGGTTTTCTTACACTGTGCACAAATATTATTGTCTTCAATAAGATTCAGAACCTTTCTATTTTTAAATTCATCGGAAGTATAATCTAAATATATATCGTCAAAATCACAGTATTTTCCAAGTATATTTAAAATTAATTTGGCATACATAGCAATGATTACGCGTTTCTTTTTCCGTTCTTCACGCTTGAAAGGATATCTAAACAAATTAATGTTATGAAACATAAAAATCGGTAATGTTTCCTGGCGGCAGAATTGAAGAAGCTTCTGAAAAATTCTACAAACATAATCATGCACACATAAATTAGAAATCGAATTTCCTTGTGTTTCCTTAGCAACATAGAATAAACAGTTTTTAAGCATATAGCTAGAAATTACATCACCACATTTTTCGATTTCCTCTTTTCCTCCATTTATTGTGTCATCACAAATAACGATTGGACAAACACGTTTGCTGCATAAAATCTTGGATATAACATATGCTTTTTTTGCTTCTGATGAAAGTGTTGCATATCGTTCGTTTTCTTCATTTACAGCTGATACATACCATAGAGTCGTGGAATTCTCAAATGTATCCCTTCCCATAACAAATTTGCTATTGTTTTTTACAAGGTTGAAGTTTGAAGAAAACAATTTTGTCTCATGGGGAATTTGGAAAGCAGGAACAAGATCAACTTTCACTGTCATGTTTTTATATTTACAGCCACACCATTTGAATCTCAATGTAAAATTTGGTCCGCCCCTAGGTGCTAATAATGTGAGACTTTTACGGAATAAGTTTTGATGAGAATATATGTCAGGTTCTTGCAAAATTTCAGTAATGATGGCGTAGAACCGGTCGTTAATATCTTTAAAACTGTGTGAGTTAAAGAAGCGACTACATTTACCATGTCTGTACTTTTTTTTAAGCTTCACTTGAACATCATTGCCTTCACTTTCTTCTATAACAAGCCAATTTGACATTTCAACCAGCAAGCATATGAAATCAAATTCATTCGGTAATCCAACTTTCGTATCTTCACCTACACTGCCTGATAAAATTACTTTATTTGCAAACAATTTTTCCTTTTCACTGAGTCTGGTACATATTTTTTGTACAATATGCTCTATCGCATTTTTAACTTCTGTTGCTTCTTTGTCGAAACTGTCCACATCTGTATCATTTTTATCTTTTTTAAATTGAATCAGTCCTATAAAAGGTTCGCTAATGATATTTTCTATGGTTCTTTCTGTACAATACCCAGACAGACTTCGAACACAGTTTTCAAATGATTGGTTTCTTTGCTTAATTGCATTTATTTCTAAGAACCTCTGAAAGAAAATAGGTTTCTTTTTATGAACTCCATTTTTGCAGACACAAATATGCTCAAGAATATTGATGTGTCCTCTCAATAAAGCTACATCGCATGGAAGCTGGCCAAGTTTATCTTCATTGACAGAAATTGTGGAGATAAATTCCAGTACATTTTCTTCAACATCGTAAGTAGAGAACAGTTTTTCAATTTCTTCATCGCATGCAATATAATGCAAAACATTATTTTTAAATATGTCCTGTTTATTTAAATGCGCTTTGCTTTTTAATTTTGAAATCCATGAAAACCAATTGTATGGATGTGCCATTATCATGGTTTGTCCAATTCTGTTACAGAATGTGATATTACTTTTCAAGTTGGAAAGAAGTTTGATATCTTTAATTGCTAATCTACTGTAACCGTCGGAAATTACAAAAAGCTCAGTCTCTCCGAAAATATTTTGAACGTTTATTTCCGGTCCCTTTTCCATTACAGCTCTAATCAATTCAGGATATCTCTTATGAAAATATATGAGACGTTGAAACCCAGTCTCTCCAAGATTGTTTTGAGCATTGATTGATGCTCCTACAATTTCAAGAACAGAGCATGTTTCAACCGAATCAACTATCTGTAAATCCTCCACAATATAAGCGACATGTAGCAGTGTATTTCCAACATAATTTCTGGACGCCAGGAGCTTCTGTTTTACTGTTTCATTTTCTAAATATGGTAAAAAATCAGAAAAGGTGACTTGAAATAGTGTTGCATTCAAAATTTGATGCAAAAATGTGTTCCCATTTTCATCGTGTAACAGCAACACGTTCTGTATGTATTGTTCGAAAAATGAAAATATCATTTGGAGTAGGACATTGCCTTTTTTATATTTTGTTGCAGCAATGTGTAAAATTGTTTGTCCAAACATGTTTTGTTTTGGAAGATAAATGGAAAATTCTGTGTAATTATATATAATATAAGACCAGATTTCTTGAAATGGTCCCGCCTGCCGGAAATTTTCTACAAGCAAGTGTAATATTGTATTTCCGTAGACATCTGTATACGATTGTAGGTAATGATGTAGTTTGAATATTTGTAATAAGGCACTTTCATTATTATACATGTACCTCAATGGATCATATTCTTCTTTGTCCCTTATACAAATAGAAGCCTGATTGATCAACAAAGTTTCAAATACTTCAAAATTATACTGACGCAAACTGAGATGCAATGCCGTTTGTCCAAAATGATTTTCTGTGTTTATTCCAACACCACTTTGGATAAGCTTATTTACAGATCTGTTGGACCCAATCAAAGCAGCATGATGTAAAGCAGTATCACCAGCATTACTTAATATGTTAATGTCAGCGCCTGCTTCTATCAAGGCTTTAACTTTTTCTGAACCCTTAGACAAAGATGCATAATGCAGTGCAGCTTTTCCCTCTTTATCTTGCAAATTAACATCTAAACCAGCTTTAATAAGTTCATAAAGACAATCATTTCCTTGAATTGGGGTGGCAAGCATAGGAGCAGACCATCCTTTCTTGTTTTGAATGTTGCATTCAGCACCATTTTCGATTAATATTTGAACAATTTCATAATGGCCTTGTATTGTAGCGAAATGAAGCGCTGTATCTCCTTTCGCAGACTGAGCGTTGATGTCAGTTCCGGCTTTTACAATATATTCTACAATGTTCTTGCTTCCTAAATAACTTGCGTAATGAAGTACTGTGAATTTTTCACTTTCATGAGTATTTAATTGGTTGGTATGTCTTAATAACCGGTCTATAATATCAGTTCTCCCACAGCATGATGCAATACCAACGATTTTTAAACTGTCAACAGTTACATCGTTCACAGTAAATCCCCAATAGGTCCTTTCATGTTGTAAGAAAGGGTTTGGTTTATCCACAAAAAATATTTGATTAAGATTTCCTTCTAACGTGCTTGCACATTCCATTGTTCCTATGTACAGAAAACAAACAAAACAGTTCTGAATACCCGCATACTCTACGGTTTAAAATTAGAGATCACTATGTTCACAAAAATTGAATTAAAATTGTATATATATATTTTTTTTAAAAGAAATCAATTTCATACATACATGTGTCTATTTTTTAGACAATCAGTATCTTATTCGTTTAAATTTGTTATCAATAATTGAAGTAAAAATGTTTAATTCGCATATTTTAACTTTTGAAATACAAAAATATCCGCAGTAGAAATTGTGTATCGTCTAATCCTTACGTTTAATCTTGAATGTACGCAAGATCTGTTGTCTTTAACTACAGGTAAGCAGTTTGATCAATTTATAGCACTTATCTTATCTGCACTTAAAATGGTCTACCAATGGGCAAAGTTTAATTTTGATACTTTAGGTGTCAATAATAGTTTTTCCAATGACATTATGCCAGAGAAGGGATCGCTCCGCCTACTGATTAACGTGACCTGGTCAGTAAGAACCTTAGACAAAATACGGTACCGATGTATTCGCAAAACTGTTATGCCACTTATGTTAATGACGTACTAATGACGCATGAAACGTTTTGCAAAGATCGTGTTATTTCTTGTTGACTTCAATGAAAATTTAAAACTCACAAAATATCATTTTATCCTACTCATTCAAAGAAAGACTGTATGTAGAAAAGTATATGATTATGTTATGAACGTTTTATTTCGAAATTGAAGTAGCGAAACAAAAACAGTAAAATTTTATTAGTGAGACAATTTAAAATATTTTTTTTCGGTTTTATGTGGGAAATTTAGTCTTGATAATACATTAATTTGTTCATGAATAGGTACTTAAAATTGATTCAGAAAATTCCATGCCCTTGCTAACTTTTTATGGTAAGTGATTATGTATCGTTAACATACATTTGATATGATTCACCACCAATCACAACGTTATTCCATTTAAAATAGCTTCACATATATCAGACCTGATGATATTGGTATTAGTTTCGTATTTAGCAGATCTATTTATTGAACTTTAATAGAAAAATTCAGGTTAGATCATTTCACTCAATTTCATATTGTATTTATTCAATATATTTGCATTTTTATGACTAAGTTTTTTATTGACGCTATACGTTATAAACAAAAAATGTCATATTTTCTGGATATTCTTGGACCTTATAATATGTAATGTAATTATGAATAGATAGAATGGAAATGAAAAAAGTGGATTTGTTTAAACCTTTTCCTTTATCAATGCATTGTGTTATAGCCAGGATAACGGTTTCGTACTTATCATTTCCATAAGTAGAAAATTATTGACTTTTTGTACAAGAAACTAACTTACTCGATCTGTCAATATGTCAGTATATTTGGTAACGTAATAATTATATAGATTTGACAGAAAATTAAAATAATTTCAAACTATATTAATTCAGCACCATTGTCTTATGCAAGTAGCTTGTCTAAGGAAAATGGTGGACTTCGCAGGCATCTTAGCGTTGGACTGATAACGATCGCCGATTGGCTTATCTCTATGACCCCTGTCAGTTTGATTGACAGGCGGCGTAATGCAAATTATGTCAGCCCATTGTTTCTTTGTATTAACAATGGAAATAAGATATTTAGTTCTCTTATGTCATTCTTAGTGAAATGCAATGAAATGGTTTCGTTTAGATAGGCCCGAAAGAATTTTGGCGCATATTGTTATAAACCTGGTCGTCCGTCCGTCTGTTAGCAGTTTCGTGTCCGGTCTGTATCTTTTGAACCGATTGAAGGAAACCATAATGGGAAGATTTGTAAAGTGCAGGTTTGACCTTCCCCAGGTCAAGATAAAGGTGGCACTTAGCCATAATGTACTGACATAAAATGTCGTGTCCGCTTCTTATCGCAGAAATACTAATATATCCGACATTGTGTGGAAACCCTAGATTTTGGCATCCTCTAACCAGGTCAAAGTCACATCTAGTCATAATGTATTGATATTAAAATTTCGTGCCGGCTAGTAGTAAATTAAAATATATGGCAGAAATGTATTACTGAGATGGTGTGCATTTTTGGGCTTCTTCGGGTCAAGGACACACTGACTCATTTAAAATCCTAAAGAGACTACCCAAAGCAGAAAAATACAATGGTCTTTAAAGACAGGTAGTCTCATAACCTAGGGTCACTTTTTTGTCGTAAATTTTGAGGAAAACCTGTATGTTGTACTTATTAAAAATATCTTTTATAAAACTGGGTATGAAAATATTGAATACAAAAAGTGTTTAAACAACAAAAGTGCCGAAATTTAAATAGTTTCATTAAGTTTGTAGCAAAAACAAGGCAATACATGTCTAAGCAAATTTGATATAATATTACGCCTACGATGATTACCTTATCAATAATTGCATTTCAGGTATGGGAGTTACCTCCCTGTTGTACATGTGTCATTTCCTGCTATACTTTCGTTTTCAATATTCAGCGTTGTTGACAAAAGTAGTTTAGTTTCCATATCATAAAGCAGAAATATATTGTAATTTTAGGGAAACAAAACATCATCTTTTGAAATATCCATCTTTAACACCACTATTCTTCATGCATGAGTTTTGAAATAGAAACATAGACTTTTGTGTATTTTTATTTTTGGTGTATTGTTATTTCTTTTTTGAAGATATATTTGGACATAACAGATACAGCATCTTTCACACATATTAGTCTTCCTAGTAGAGAAATACTTTCAAAAAGGGTCAAACAGATGTAGCGTTGTCACACATAACAACTGTAGGTACTTCAGACATCTTCATTCATGTCCAACGTTTTTATTAAATTGCCTTTAAAATGATATTCACATGTATTATCTCCAACGTCTTGTTATTTAGCAGAAAAGGTCTAAAAACATGAAGTTTAGATTTATTTCGGTATAGAATACACATATACATGGACATTTAAAACAACATGCAATGTACAAATATAGAACATACATTAGAATAGATAAGCAATGGCATGCACACCGACACCAATAATAAAGAGAGAGACTTTATTTAAGTTGTTGTCTCGTGCGTTGCTGGCATGACAAAAAAGCCTCTAACCAGTGCAAATATATACTTTCAATTAAATGTTATTCAATTATTTCAAAGCATTTTGACTAGTATTACAGCAATTTAACACATTATTTAAGTTAAAACAAAATAAATATACCAGTAAAGAAAAGATAAAAAGTGATAGAAAAATGAGTTAAACTCTTCCTAATCCGAAACAATTTGTTGTAGGTTTAAAATCTTAAATAACAAGAGCACCACCGGACGAGGCAACGCTCGACTTTTTTACTTTCTAAAACAAATCTAAAAAAAGAGTTAAATTTACTTTATTTAAATTTTAAAAGGTTTGTCTAGTCACAAAAAGAACGAAGTTACAGCCAATTATTGCCATGATCAGTGAAAACAAAATAATTTGACATTCAAGATCAAGTTTATGCATGAGTCAAGATCAATTTGGTAATCATGAAGGTCCTGACGTAAAAGATGTTGTGTCTTAATATGAGGTTAATCCATATTTCAATAACAAAAGTATCGTCCGTTGCAGAAAAAGCAAGATTAATTCATTAATATGATCTTGACAGTCAATGACAATTTAATGTCATAGTCAATATCAGTTTAATCTTTTTTAAGGTCTTGTCCAAAACGTTGTTTGGCCAAGTATGAAGATAGTCCATTTAATAATTACCAAGTTACAGTCTATTTTAGCAAAAATCAGTGAAGATTCAATAATTTAACTTTCGAGGTCAAAGTCATAAAACGACCAATGTCATTTTGAGTTTGACATACATGAAGGTCTTACCTTAAAATATTGCTCCGTTATAATATGATGTCAATCCATTTCTAGCCAGTTACAGCAAAAAAAAGAAGAAGGTTTCAACATTTGACCTCGAAGTTCGAGGTAATTTATGAATGAAGGTCACTCTTAGTCTGATAATTATAATAAAAGGTCTTGTTGTTTCAAGGTTTGTTGTAAAAATGTTTATGAAGACAATAGACCAAGAACTGTAGGGAGGAGGGGTGTGTCAATTTTAGAAAAAACACCTTTCTTGATTTTTTATAATGTATATTCATCCCCCGCACCCCCGCAGTCCCCCAAAAAAACTGTTAGCATAGGAATATATGCAATATCCGAATCAGTAACTACCTATTAGTAGGAAGTTGGGGATTCGCGCCAATAACCAATTGAGATCTCTATTACACGTAGTGAGGTGGAGGTGTTACCATGTAGAAAAATACAGCTAGTTTGTTATATCCTTACATTTAATTCCAAAAAAGATCTGTTTGAGGGAAAAACATGTTAAGTTCGAATCCCCAACCACCTACCAGAATTTCAAACAGCTCATTATTTATCACTTCAAGAGTTTTGATGATTATTTAACCGAAACAAAAAAAAATAAGTACACTATTAATTTCCGAATTTCATTCGTATATTATCTGATAATGTCTAATTTTGTACGTAGGACATACGGCCAGTATCGGCTTTACATATTGTTTGCCGACCTTTGAATATTTTTTCATATTATTCAAACAATGTGGTCTTTAAAATAAAACGAATGTTCACAAAATATTCGAAGTATATATGTATAAACTGTTTTAGTACAAACATAATGTTGATCACAGCTCAGTATTTTTTTTGAAAATGTGTTATTTTTGTTGGTAATTTTTTTATTGTTTTAAAGTAAATGAACTCTTCGGACAACCTTCGTATATTTGATAGCCCAAAAGATAAATCCGAAGGCAAAAATTATCTAAAATCCGTTTCTTAACACCTGTACACTATAGACTAATATAAAGACAAGGGGAACGACTCCCATAAGAAGGTGTCTATACTCAATCAGAGTTTTCGCTTTGTATATTTTAAAATATACAGGATATATAAAAAGTACATATGCAGCATGTAGTCAAACCAAATTTATGTTCTTATCTCTCTTATACTTTACAAGTTGTGGCCACCAAAGTTATCCAAAACTCGAACAGTTACGCGAGGTACAGATCGATCGCGGCTATAGCAGTAAACACAAAGTTATGCTAAATGATAATGTTTCAAGCTATAACATCTTTGAGTATATATACAGGGCGACATTTTACTACCTAGACACGGCACAAATATTACTGATGTGACAATAAATAAAAGAAAAACGCTCTTCTTCAAGAACACACTTAAAACGACATAATTGAAAATGTGACAAACTCTTTTATCTTTCGTTATCTGGGCTTGTTCGAAGGCTCCGTAGTTATTTCAGTTACAGATAAGTATCAAGAACTCCGGGCAATCGTCAGGAAGAAATGCACATTT